GGGGAGGACGCCGACGATATCCACGTGCGGATGCCGGGCGCCAAGCGGGGCGACATGGCGGCGCGCGCCCTGCGGCCGGAGATACGCGTCCTGGCCGTCCGCTTCTCACCCACCGGTCAGTCGGTCACTCAGTCGCAGTCGTTCGTTGAGATCATCCACGCAGTGGCTGTTACATACAAGTGATGTTTTGTTCGTAGTCAATATGAAGTTGGTGGAGAAGTGAGAAGTCATTGAATGCGGGGCAAAACGCATTTGTATAGCATTGAACAGGCCCGACATCGATAGCGGGTCCCAGATGCCGGGGACTGAACATGTCTTGAACCTCACTGCAAGAGAGACAGCAACGCGTATTCCCATCGTGGCCGCGCGAACGGACATAGCATGGGGCCGGTTGTCGTGTCAAGAGGGCGGCGGGTGACCCAGAGGGCCGGCGTGCCCAAGAGGCGCGGTGCCCTGGAGGCGGGGTGCCCCAGAGGGCGCGTGCCCAGAGGCGTGTGTGCCCAAGGGCGCGCGTGCCCTGGAGGGCGCGGTGTGCCCCAGAGGGCGCGGTGTGCCCCAGAGGGCGCGGCGTGCCACAGAGGGCGCGGCGTGCCACAGAGGGCGCGGTGTGCCCGGACACCGCTACCCTGAACGCGGAAGCTCCCTGGGTGCTCGTCAGTCGACGTCGCAGAGCTGGAGCTGGAGCACTCCAGCGCCCGTCGCGGTGCCGACTCTGTGACACCTGGGCACGCCCAACAAACGTGCTCTTGGCTGCGGGAGCACACAGAGAGATGTTCATGGGCCCTTTGAGGCAACACCTTGCCATGGCGCGAGCAAGGGGGGGGGGGGGTGAGTGCTTCATTGATCCTGAGGGCGGTTGGGAAGTCTTGTAGAGCGTCCCTTGCGGCCAAATGGAGGAGTCAGATGACATGTTTCCTCCACGCGGGCTCTATCAGACTTAGGTCAGAGCGGGATCAGCAATCCCTGGGCCCCCAGTTTTACAGTTTTGCCCGTCTTGCCGGGCCCCGTTTTAGACGCAGGTGGCGACGAGGGATCCTGGCTATTAAGTGAGGTGTCCCGCGGATCAGTCGGGGCACTCTACCAGTATGTGGCTCTCTACCAGCATGTGGCCAGTATGTATGTGGCTCAAGTTGGTGAGCCTGCGCATGCCTCGTGTTGCCTGCGCACGAGGAAATCAGGTGATCAGGTGACGCATCCCCGCGGCACTGGCCTGGAGCCAAGCGGACCACGTCACGGGCGTTGAGGGGAGCTGCCGGCGGTAGTTTTTGCCTCCGATCGCGGTCTGGCCGACATGCCTTGGCTTGTCATCACGGTGGCTGGTTAGCCCCTGCGAGCCGGGGCACTGGCGCCCGCGCATGTGTGCCGGGCGGGTCCCGCAGCAGCTCCTTTGGCACACTGGTCCGCGTGTGACGTGCTGTTAGCCCTGGCGGCTCCACTCGTGGACCGTCCCCTCGCTGGGCTCTGTGGCGGGCGGAAAACTGAGCCGAGCATTGCCACCCGTCTGTGAACTCGCGCGTTCCAGTCAACCCCAAATCCCAGCCGGTCGCAGAGGAAGCACTCCCTCCAAAGAAACTGTCAGGATTCGACCTGAGCCACTGTCTGGTCCCAGTTTCTGTGTGTAGCTGTTGATATGAACCATGACTGCGATTTGTTGTTGGTGGAATCATCAACCGATGTGGAGAGCAGGGGTCTATAAGGGCAGACAGGCTTTGTGAGGGACACTTTAGTGTGTACGCCGGAAGGAATTGTAGTGTTTTTGCCGTTGATTCTTAAACAACATATTCCACTCTTGCGGAGGAATGTGACGCGGCCACACCACGTTTGGCCACACCGGTCTAGTGTAGCTATTTGCCGTACTGCGCGAATCTGCACTTCGCTTGCCGGTCGTGCGCGCGTCAGTCTCGCTGGCCGTGCCCGGGCCCGCGTGCGCGCGCCTGCTCTCTTCTGACCGTCTCTCGGCGCCGTCGTCAGGTGAGGCGTGGGGGCGCCGTCACCACCGAAGGTCTGCTCATCTACTCGCTGGACCCCAGCCTGGTGTTCGAGCCGTTCCAGCTGGAGGAGAACATCACCGAAAGCTCGGTGTTGGCCAAGCTGAAGGCCGGCGACCCTGCGCGCGCCCTGCTCATGGCGCTCCACACCTGAACGTACTGCCCGTCACACGCCGCGTGCTGGAGAGCGTGCCGCACAGCAGCGGTAGGTGGCGCGCCGGTCGACTCGACTCGCTCCCGGGCTGGCCTGCGGCGGCGCACGGCCCCATCTGGATCTTCCCTGTAGGATAACATGGTTTCAAATGCAATTTGGGTGATTTCAAAGATTTTTTGCAGACGTAGTGTGTTTACAGCCATGCCAAGTTATTGTGTAGTGTTCCTATCTCATCGTTCAGTCAGGTGTGTATCGTTTCAAACAGGTGTTAACAGTTGTGTACTCGTCTGGCCTGATCAGTTCCCCGAGGAACTTCGTCCGAATCTGCATCTTACGCAACGTCCCGAACGTGCGCCGTGTGCCCCTTCCGTGTTATGATTTTAATTGGTATCTATAATGAGTCCTGGCGAGCGTCCGCTCCACTGACAGCCCCCCCCCCCCCCCCACACACACACACATTTCGTCTCTGACCACTCCGCCTGACACCCGCCCCGCCGGTCTGCCCGTCAGTCGAGGCCGTGGTGAAGGGCCCTGCCGCACCGGTACGTGGAGCGGCTGCTGGCGTTCGTGGCCGCCGAGCTGGAGACCACCCGCCACCTGGAGTTCTACACGCTGTGGGCGCACAGTCTGACGCAGCAGCACGCCGGCTGGCTGCGCAGCCACGTACTCAGTGTGACGCCGCTGCTCCGGCAGCTGCAGAAGGCGCTCACCGCCAAACAGAAGTCGCTGGGCCAAATGTGAGTGTCTCGCGGTGGGGCTCCGCGCGGGCCAGCCAGCCTCGTGCTTTGGTCGCGCTGTTTTCTCACTTCCTTGCTGGAAGCAATTGGAGAATAATGTAGGCGTGCCTTGGCAACATGGAAGTAATTTTACATTTTGTAGTGCATCGTAGCGCCTTTGGCACTGTGATCGTTGATTGCAATCAGGCAAATATCATTATTTTTGTCCCAGTGATGGCAAATTAGCAACCTATTCGATGATATTGTAAGGGAGTTTCTGGTATACGCTTTTTTGTGCCAAGCAGAAACATTCTTAAGTGATTTCTACCATTGGTTACCCAACAGTATTAAAAGACATTTATGCACTCAAGCGTTCATGACTTTTTCACCGATTTCTTGTTGAGGCTTAGTACTATATGACATTGGTCATAGCTCTTGTAATAGGGACCTCTTATTGATCTAGTTAACCTTGGTCAACCTCCATATTACAGTTTCACATGAAAGACAAGGTGCATCTGGATAGGAGTCCTGTGTCTCCCTCCAGCCTTCGTGTAATGGTCCGAGAGTTGAGAACAGGCCTGTTGAACTTCTGACGCTGCGCTGGTTAATGGAAGTGTTCCACATTTGTGTGGGGGTTTGAACTGAAATAGCCATCTTGACCACCTTGCGGTGCAGTTCACAGCCAGAAAGTATTGTTAGGCCACTTTGACGTTCATGACGTCATAATAACGTCATTTAAACCCTGCCGTTTCATGAGCCATGCGGCGAGCAAGCCCAGCATAAAAAAAATGTAATGGTCAAGTCGTTCATATCTGGCGTTTGTAAACACGATGTTCAGACATATCGGCCGTCAATTGGTTCTCAATCAATTTTGTGCAAGATACAATGATGTAATCAAACAATGACGTATCGAAATTAGTTACGTAAGTTGTTTAGTGCTTTTGCGAGTAACATTAGGCATATAGATAAGATAGTAGCAATAGCCGTATTCTTACGAAGACCAGGCGATTGGAGGGATAGATGCACGATAGTTCGGCAGCATCCATTTATCGAGATGAATGACAGTAGTGTTTTTTCTGTTACTGACACCGTTACTCACACTTCGGTGCACACACACTTCGGTGCAGAAGTGTCGTTAACACGGTTGACACTGTTCTGTTATTGTTACTGAACACTACTGTTATTCGTTTCTATAAAGGCATGCTGCAGAAATATTACGCATCTAGCCATTCTCGTGTTTCTTTTTCTACGAGGAATAGGGTTTTTACGACTGCTATCTAAACGAGGTATCGAGGAGTATACTTACTAAACAGAGATATTGTGTCACCTAGAGAAGCATGAAAGTGCTTGAAATTATGCCAATAATTTGGTAAGCTTGCGTTCAATAATTAAGTGAGTTTGTTCCATCATATCTGGTTTTGTTTCGATATCTTCACACGTGACACATAGCCGTTAAGCGCCGGGCTGTGGTACCGCAGCTGTCGTGCTTGCCTGGCTGCTGACCGGCGCCGCCGTTTTCAGCTGTGATCACAACAAGTACCTGCTGCGGTACCTGAGCACGCTGGGTCAGCTGCGGTCGGCGGCGCCGCCCCTGAAGCGGCCCGCTGGGGAGGGCCACGCCCAGGACTCGGCCGAGTCCGGGCCCGAGTCCGACCACGTGTCCGACGATGAGGAGGTGGCCATGGTGGCTGTGAGAAATACATGATACTTCGCTATGCTGCCGCTCTTGTGTTCGTTAATTTGCGGTGGTGGTTAGATATGATCCGTATTCACCTGCTGCTCATCTAAATCCAACGGTTAGCGCTCAGGTAATAATTGAGAGTTTCATTCTTTTAATTTTTAATGAAGGCAAGCCAGAATTTTCTCCTACCAGCGCTTGGAAACAATTATCATCGCAAACATCATGACTGAGGCGGCTTCTCTGTGGAGTAATGGTCATGCAGAGAGCAAGAGTTACCCACTGTCCCCCCGCTACCACTCAGAACAGTTACGGGGCCTGTGGTTTTACGGCCTTGGGGATGGCCACCACAGAGCGCGTGCGGTGACCATTGGACAAGCTGCGATAGTGGGCCGAGAGCGTCCAGTTTGGGTACATCTGCTGCGAACGCTGGAACGCTCCGACCGACCACACAAAGCGGACGACTCATCTATCAGCTGGAGCGTGCGCGAAGAATGGGAGTCGATATGCAAGAAAGCGGAACACCGGTACCGTGGTGTTAACGCGCAAATGCTCCAGGGTAATGCGAGGATAACCGGCCAGCTGGCTCGTGGTGCCGCATGGAGGTGTGAAATGCAGCGACAGTGGGCATGCAAAGACTCGAATACGCCAACCATCAAAGCTGCCTGTGGCGAGTCCCAGGGTGCATTGCTGGGGTATTTGTTGCTTAAATTTTGATAATCGTCCTGCCTTCTGTGCCATTCGCCTCCTGACTGACCGCAATTTCCATCCAAGCGAATGCGACGCCTGGGGCTTGTACCCCATGCTACTTCATGGCATATCAACCGAAGTTTGGTCAAATGCTTACGACAGACAACACTTTCAAGTCTGCCCATTTCAGCTACTTTGAGAGCATTCTATTTGGAGCATAAACAAAAGCCAGCGCAGTATGAACTACAGCACATGGGGAACACCACCGAATTCACTCCAGCCACCGCCACCACCTATCCACGCACGTCGACGGATGAACACGTTACCCACCATCATGCGTCTATGCTCTGCCGATAAGCCCTGCTGTGGCCGTCTCTGTGACGGTTATGGTGAGGGCTCCGTGGTGGCCATCCGTGCATGAGCCATTCGCTGCTGAGTGCCGGCCTGTCACTGCACGCCCGAAACGGCATACCGCGAACAGCACATTGATACTGCTGGTGCCGACAGACGGATCGAAGCAGTGGCTTCCCGGGCTTTCTGCTGTTCAGGTGTGCGGCAGCCCTGTCTTCCTCGAGCGGACTTTTAGCATTTGGCCGTTACTGACTGTAGGGGCGATATATTCACGACCTGGCGAAACTGCAGGTGTAGAAACAGGTAACCTGGGAACATCCGCGGAAGCTTTTCGATGCTTAGGCGTGTGCATACGTTTGAGCATAGGTATGTGCGCCTGGTCTGGTCAGAGATCCATGGCCACAATCCGCAGTGCTAGGCGGCTGTTCGTCCGTATCTTCCGATGGATTTGTTTGTAGGTTTTGCTTTCGAGTGCTGCGAGGTTTTCAGCGGAGAAACGTGGATTCGCATGATCCATTTGGCTGATAATTTGCAATTCACGGATGTCCATGTAAGATCGCGTTTGCCTTAAAGCGTATGAAGGACCTCCGAGCGCGTTGAACTGAGGCTAGCTTAGTTAGAGCTGGTTCATGGTGCTAAAGCAGCCGACGAGGGCAGTCGACTAAAAAGGCAGCTCACCGTCCGCCTGTGGTGGCTTGCGTTCGGTCTGACACCCGAAGCGCTCTGGATGTCCGCGGCCCCGCCCCGCGGTCCAGTCCTGCCGCCCGGCCGTCACCCGCCAGCCGGGGCCCGGCCTCCTGGTGGCCCCGCGCTCCTGTGTACCGACCGCCGCCGCAGCCTGTGTATACGGCAGGCCGCCCGGCGGCGCCCCGCCCGTCACCCGCCGCCGCCCTCGGCGGCCGGTATTTATAGGTTCCAGCCGCTTCCCGCGGGGCCGGCGGACAGGTGCGAGGCCCACCTGATCGGGGTCAGCCGCGCGGCGCCGGCACCAGAGCTTGCGTCGGCGCGGGATCCCGCGGGGACTCAGACCGAGCCGGTCGACAGAAGACCACGAGTACGTCCGCATGGACCGTTGGCTGGGGCGAAATCATTGGCAGTTGCTCCTTGCAATTGGAGGTCCATTCACAATTGCCTATGATATTCTGCACACGGCAGAAGCGGCTGTGAGCGTGAGATGCGCGTCTGGTATTTGACTGCGAACTCCACTGTGAGCTTTCGGCAACGGGCAACAGATAGCATTAAGTCTTGTGAATTAGTGATCGGTCAGATATGCACGGTCCAACAAGGTTTGTTAACTCTCGGGACCGCCGATAACTGCCCGAGCCATTTCGAAGCCCAAACATCCGTTCATGAACCATAACGGTGAGGCATGGTTTGGTGAGGAGCCGTCATCCACCCGTCACGCGGGATCGATCGGGGCGTTAACGGTCAAACGCAGACCCAGGAAGACTGGAAACTAACTGGAAACTGGCGAGATAGTAGCTAGCTGACAAAGGGTACTAGGATAGCAGTTTGACATCGTGACCCCAAATTTGGTCGCTGGGTTCCTTCGTCGCAATTGTTGGTAACACAATTTGACGGTGCGGGTAAACATATCAACTGATACCACATTCCCCAGAGACGGCCAGCTTTGCTTCGTTTCATCTCGTCCGAAGAACGGAAAATTTGATAAGCCGAGTGAGATTACTAATCAGTCTGTCCTGAGATTACTAATCAGCTTGTTAGCTCCTCAGTGGCACACCCAACAACACTACTTGCGATGGAATTTGAATAAACCTAAGACTTTAAATCAAGTGTAAGACAACCCAGTGGTGTGACTCGCTGCTTGATTGGTGCCATGTCTCAAATCGTCATTTTCAGGGTACGGCTGACAGAAAACGAGGCACTCGAAGAGAATGAATGCCGAAAAATCCATTAGCCGTCTTGATACTCGCCTCCACAGGCCTGGCATATCTGCCCCCGTCCGTGGCCGACAGAGACCTGGTGTGCCTCGCCCTGTCACCGTCAGTGGCCGACGGAGACCTGGTGTGCCTCGCCCCCTCCGTGGTCAACAGAGGCCTGGCGTACCTCGCCCCGCCCCCGTCAGTGGCCGATAGAGGCGTGGTGTGCCTCCCCCGTCCGTGGCCGACAGAGGCCTGGCGTACCTCGCCCTGTTCCGTCAGTGGCCGACGGAGACCTGGTGTGCCTCGCCCCGTCCGTGGCCGACAGAGACCTGGTGTGCCTCGCCCTGTCCACCGTCAGTGGCCGACGGAGACCTGGTGTGCCTCGCCCCCTCCGTGGTCAACAGAGGCCTGGCGTACCTCGCCCCGCCCCCGTCAGTGGCCGATAGAGGCCTGGTGTGCCTCCCCCGTCCGTGGCCGACAGAGGCCTGACGTACCTCGCTCTGTCCCCGTCAGTGGCTGACAGAGACCTGGCGTACCTCGCCCCGTCCGTGGCCAACAGAGGCCTGGCATACCTCGCCCTGTTCCCGTCAGTGGTCGATAGAGGCCTGGTGTGCCTCGTCCCGTCCGTGGCCAACAGAGGCCTGGCGTACCTCGCCCTGTTCCCGTCAGTGGCCGACGGAGACCTGGTGTGCCTCGCCCCCTCCGTGGCCGACAGAGGCCTGGCGTACATCGCCCTGTCACCGTCAGTGGCCGACGGAGACCTGGTGTGCCTCGCCCCCTCCGTGGCCGACAGAGGCCTGGCGTACCTCGCCCTGTTCCCGTCAGTGGCCGATAGAGGCCTGGTGTGCCTCGTCCCGTCCGTGGCCGATAGAGGCCTGGTGTGCCTCCCCCGTCCGTGGCCGATAGAGGCCTGGTGTGCCTCGTCCCGTCAGTGGCCAACAGAGGCCTGGCGTACCTCGCCCTGTCCCCGTCAGTGGCCGATAGAGGTCTGGTGTGCCTCGTCCTGTCAGTGGCCAACAGAGGCCTGGCGCACCTCGCCCTGTCCCCGTCAGTGGCCGATAGAGGCCTGGTGTGCCTCGTCCCGTCAGTGGCCAACAGAGGCCTGGCGTACCTCGCCCTGTCCCCGTCAGTGGCTGACAGAGACCTGGTGTGCCTGGCCCCGTCCGTGGCCAACAGAGGCCTGGCATACCTCGCCCTGTCCCCGTCAGTGGCTGACAGAGACCTGGTGTGCCTCGCCCCGTCCGTGGCCAACAGAGGCCTGGCATACCTCGCCCTGTTCCCGTCAGTGGCCGACGGAGACCTGGTGTGCCTCGCCCCCTCCGTGGCCGACAGAGGCCTGGCGTACTTCGCCCTGTCACCGTCAGTGGCCGATAGAGGCCTGGTGTGCCTTGCCCCGTTCGTGGCCGACAGAGGCCTGGCGTACCTCGCCCCGTCACCGTCAGTGGCCGATAGAGGCCTGGTGTGCCTTGCCCCGTTCGTGGCCGACAGAGGCCTGGCGTACCTCGCCCCGTCCCGTCAGTGGCCGATAGAGGCCTGGTGTGCCTTGCCCCGTTCGTGGCCGACAGAGGCCTGGCGTACCTCGCCCCGTCACCGTCAGTGGCCGATAGAGGCCTGGTGTGCCTTGCCCCGTTTCGTGGCCGACAGAGGCCTGGCGTACCTCGCCCCGTCCCCGTCAGTGGCCGATAGAGGCCTGGTGTGCCTTGCCCCGTTCGTGGCCGACAGAGGCCTGGCGTACCTCGCCCCGTCCCCGTCCGTGGCCGACAGAGACCTGGTGTGCCTCGCCCCGTCCGTGGCCGACGGCGCTCGCTGTAGAGCATCAGGCGGTGTCCAGCGGCTGTCCAGGCCAGGGCAGTGGCCACTGGCCAGCCGGGGTCGGGCCAAACACAACATGAACCCACTGCTGCCGTTCGAGGCTGATCGGCTAGAAAACGGCTGGAAGCGCCGCCGGCGCGCCGGCGGACGACGGGTAAAATTAGGCCCTGCCGGCGACGAGGGCAGCGCCTGGGTGCGTGGCGGGCGTGCAGTGCTGCTACACCAGGGCTCCCGTGAACACCTCCCGAAGCCGAAGCCATCAGCCATGGTGAGTGGAGTCGGACGTGTCACGGCCCAGTGCGACA